CTTCTACCTCTTTTAAACAATTTTGCTCAACATTTGGCATTACTCATATAACAGGAATCCCATACAATCCACAGGGACAAGGCATAGTTGAAAGAGCTCATCAAACTATTAAAATGTACTTATTAAAGCAAAAAGAAGGAATTGGGAAGGGGTATATATTCCCCAAAGATAAACTTAAAATAACCCTTTTTACTCTAAACTTTTTAAATTTGGATTCATCAGGACTTAGTGCTGCAGAAAGGCATATGTGTCCAAAAAATGTACATAAGCCCAAGGTACTTTGGAAGGATATTCTAACAGGACAATGGAAAGGTCCTGACCCAGTAATTGTCTGGAGTCGGGGGTCTGTTTGTGTGTTTCCACAGGGAGAACAGCAGCCGATTTGGATTCCAGAGAGATTAACCAAGGTCCTGACCCAGTGATTGTCTGGAGTCGGGGGTCTGTTTATGTGTTTCCACAGGGAGAACAGCAGCCGATTTGGATTCCAGAAAGATTAACTAAAGCGATTTCTACAGACCAAAAAGAAGATGATTTGGCTCAAATCCATAACAACTGATATCCAAAACTCCAGTTTGGCTATTCTTACATCTGCAACAGAACCAGGATGCTTTTTTCAATATCTATTTTATTATTGCCCTTTGCCATATCATGAAGTTCTATTTTGTTTTTTGAGCTCATACAGACCTAGGTTAATGTTTTGCTGATCAGTTCTATTTTTTGACTATAGAGTTTTTAAACATTGCAATGGAGATTTCACCTGTAAAAAGTTATAAGGCCTTTACTATAATGTTATGTGTTGTATGTATTATATTATGTGTGCACACTTGTGTTTTGTGTTATATGTTTGAATGTACGTATGTCCATATATCATATATGATGAGCGATCATGATAAAATGGATCCAAATATTTTTTTTTCACGTGATTTATATGGTTTAATTTAAATTGGGTAAACAACTGTTGAGGATTGTTTTAATATGTAAACAAAAAAGAAGGTTAACAGATCTGTTTGTTTACTTTCACCTTTCCTTTTCATTATATTTAATAATTCTCTTCAAGCTAATGTAAATTGTTAAGAAAATTGTTTTCTTTTAGTGCCTTCTGTAATGTTACATAATTTTTTCTTTAGCCATTATTGCCAGAATTCCTATCTTCATCCCAGTGCCGGTGAAGACAATGTAAATTGTTAAGAAAATTGTTTTCTTTTAGTGCCTTCTGTAATGTTACATAATTTTTTCTTTAGCCATTATTGCCAGAATTCCTATCTTCATCCTAGTGCTGGTGAAGTCAAAGATAAAACCAATCTACAGCTTCTACAATAGCCATCACTGAACTGCTTGCAGAACTTGCCTGGACAAATTGTGAGCTCACCTGTATGCATTGTGAACTATCTGTTGGTACAGCGAATTGTGGTAGTGCTGGAGTATTTTTGCTGATGGTGTCACCGGTGGTACAATTTTTCAAAGGAGCCCTCAATTGGCTTAATGTCATGGCATTTTGCATCCTCCTCTACTAGTGATGGTCTAAAATTTGGGGGCCAACAGAGGTGAGGCAAAGAACCTCACCCCCCCACAGGTGCAAAGGCCTATCCACAAGTATGGCTGTATGCTGGACCGGTAGTCAGTGACGGGTATGATCCAATTGTAGTGGTACCAACCTAAGACAGGAGGCTGACGCCTAGAGGTCAGTTCATCCGATGACGGGTAAGGACCATATGTTGAATTGGACTGCCTAACAGGCACGGTCCCTAAGCCACATGCTTGTTGTTTAAACAGAGAGGGGGAGATGTTGAGAGCCACAGCCAAAGGGGCCCCAGCAAACTTCCAGCTGCCAGCAAACTTCCAGCTGCTGGCTGATGATTGGCTCACAGCGGCCCCAGCAACATCCTGATGATTGGCTCACAGCGGCCCCAGCAACATCTAGCTGATTGGCTCCTCGGCCCCAGCAACATCTAGCTGATTGGCTCCTCTGCGGTGATGCTCATTGGGCTGTTTCCCTGCCCTTTCAGACCACGGAGCTGCTCATTGGGGGACTTTTTTGGCTCCGCCCACGTGACCCAGCCAATCGGCCTCAAGAGCAGGAGGATTGTGGGAGGTGGAGAGAAGCTTGGGTGGGAGAGAGAGGCTTGTGGAAAGCCGGTGGTGGCAGTTGAGGCTCTGAGGGTTTTTCCTGAGAGGCTGTTTTGTTTGGCGTGTGTGGTTCTAAAAATAAAGTTAGTTTCTTTTGACAAGTGGCTCCTGATTGTGCCCAGCCAGACTGCGGCAATACTGGACACATATGTTTACATATATAGTGAAGATATATATATCTCATATAGATATATATGTCTAATATCACTGAAGGGGTCTCCAGCTGAAGAGAATTCCTTTTCAGATACACAGAAAAGTCCTAAGAAAGGTTGCTTTTTTTCCTCCTCTCCTTACAGTAATCTTCTTAAAATTATTACACAGGTAGAGGGACATGTGGTGCAACTTAAGAATCTGCAGAATTTCTGAATACTTCTCTGGTAGTACCACAGAACACTGTGGTAGAGAATATAAAGACTTTGACTGAGTTGCTCCTGAGTTGTGTGGAAGGAAGATATATTTAATTTAATTTATTTATTTAAATGTCTTGAGTTGCTGATGGACCTTTATTTTATTCATTTATATGTGGTGCTGACAATTGAACCCATTGCCTCACACATGCTAGGCAAGTGCTCTATCACTGAGCCACAGCCCCAGTCCTGGAAAATATATTTTAAATGCACTATGGAACATGGTTGAATTAAGCCATGGTAAATATACATATATTTTTGTAAATTGAGAAATCTTGTCTTTGATTTATCATAATTGTGGTAAATCTGATATTGATAAAATAAGTTTAAATAAAGCAAGTCATATCTACATTTGAAGAGAGCTTACTTCAGTTCCCAGAACTTTCCTTAGCTCTTCTGCTCTCCCTACTGTTAGCAAGCAAGCATTTACTGTGTGTCCAATACTGTGCTAGGTACTAAGGCCACAATGACACCTATGATTTAGTCTTTATCCTAAAGGGGCTCACAGGAGAAATATCAGTCATGTTTTCTGGTACAGACAGCTGAAAACTTTAGCTCAGTTAAGGTTGGCTCTAGGGTTGGCCAAATCAGAAACTCTATTATTTGCTGAGAACCCAATTCTTTTTATACTCTTCCTGAACCAATCTTAGCATTTCTGCCTTCTCCCTAGTTTGGCCTACCTCAGGTTACAACAGTTGCAGCAACTGGTAAATCATATTCTCAAGATTACAGTTAAGGGGTAGAATTGTGTTATTCATGTATCCCATTTTATTGGGCCACCAGAAGATTATGCTCCATCTTCCAAAGATCAAATCTGCATCTGGAGCTCTTGCCTAAATCTGGAGCAAGGTGGATGGAACTACCACTTTAATCACATTTATTCTCCGTGGCAGGACCTGGGCCTGGCTCCCAATTCCTGGAAAATATCTGGACCCCAAATAGAGGGTTTCTGAAGTTCGAAAAGACTGCAGGACTGGCCAGTACCTGCCAAACCTTTACACATCCTGGCATATGTCAGCATATGGAGAAAAAGACTGTCTATTGTACAACTTGCTGGCATAAACGTATTGAAGTTTCCTGCTGCCTCTCCCCTTGCTCATTTAGTTTTTAAAAATTAGTATTGTAAAAACAGGATAAGGAAATTAACATCAGAACACAACTGTGTTTGACTCACAGCATCTGAGTAAAACCCCAATGGTATTTGTACACACATGGCAGAGTGCCGAAGAGAAAATCGTGTACTCAAATGAGACGTCTATTAATATAAATACCAAGTGACAGAAGAAACAGCTTCAAAGTCAATGTTTGATGGTGGTAGTTCCAGTAAGCTCTTTTCTGATGTCTTTGTGCTTTTGCAATATAATGTAATGGATACATGGAATCAAATATACTTGGGTTCAAGTAAGTCCTCAGCCTTCATTTGCTATTTGATTTGGGCAAGTTCATTAACTCCTTTGAGCCTGTTTTCCAATGGAATGCTGTTATGTTTTTGTTTTAGAAGCAGATGGACACAATACCTGTTTAGTTTTTTAAAATTTATTTATTCTAGTTTGTTATACATGACAGCAGAATGCATTTAGTTTTTTTAAAATGTGGTGTTGGGGATCGAACCCAGTGCCTCAGACGTGTTAGGTAAGCACTCTACCACTATGCCACAACCCCAGCCCATGATATTATGCTTTTGATGGGCTATTTCTGAGGATTAAATAAGAATTATATGAGGCGGCCAGTACGGTGCCTGGTACATATTAAATTCACCATAGACATTAGGTCAATCTTGCAAATTTGTATTTAATTGTCACTGCTCCTTTGAAGATCTCCCTTACACATTTCGATGGTGGCTCCTGTTTTTACAATACTAACATCGTTTATTACACTACAATCTGTACATTGCCCTCCGCTCCTCTTTTCTTAACCCGGGATCTCCAAAACGCTAGTGTCAGCTCTCCACTTTCTAACTCCCAGAAATAGGCAAAGTTCAGCTCCGACTCCGAGTTCCAACGTTGGTGTTTGTTATTGTTTTGGCTTCTGTGCTCAACGGATTGGGCGGGAGAAGCCGGGTGGAGAGGGAGGGGGCCGCCCGCGAAAGGAGAGGGGCGTGCCCGCCCAGGGTGCGCTCGCCAGAGATCCCCTGCCGGGCCGCTGGTCAGCAGCGAGCAGCCCCACATAGAAAGAGGGGTGCCCACTGTCACCCACCAGATTCTCTGTAAAGCCGCCGTGCAGGTACGCCGCCCCCGAGCGGCGCGTTTCGGGTGGAAACATGTCCAGGCAGCGATGCCGGCTTACGGGGAGGCCGAGCCTTCCCGCCCAGGCCGTGCGCCCTCGCGCCACGGCCCGCGCACCGCTGGCGCCCCGGTTCCCCCCAGACGCCGGCAAGCCCGGGAGCCTCGCGGACGTGACGCCGCGGGCGGAAGTGACGTTTTCCCGCGGTTGGACGCGGCGCTCGGTTGCCGGGCGGGGGAGGGCGCGTCCGGTTTTTCTCAGGGGACGTTCAAATTATTTTTGTAACGGGAGTCGAGAGAGGACGGGGCGTGCCCCGACGTGCGCGCGCGCCGCCTTCTCCGCGCTCCTCCATAGCTCCCTGGCGCCTGCCCTGGGAGCGCGTCATGCCGCCCAAAACCCCCCGAAGAGCGGCTGCTGCCGCCGCGGCGGCTGTGGAACCCCCGGCGCCGCCGCCGCCGCCTCCTCCTGAGGAGGACCCGGAGCAGGACAGTGGCCCAGAGGACCTGCCTCTGGCCAGGTGAGCGAGCGGAGCCGCCGCCGCCGCCGCCGCGGCCGCCGGCGGGAAGGGCGCCCGCAGAGTGCCGGCGGGTGGGCGTCGCGGCCGCTAGAGCCGGGCGCATCTTCTCCGGGGCCGGTCCCGGCGGGAGGACATCCCTCTCATCTCCCGCCCCGGCGGAGCGTCGGCTCGGCGGTGACAGGGTTCTGCGCTTGCGAGCGAGGAGAGGGCATCCCGGAGGGGTCTCGGCTCCAGCTTGACAGGTGTCGGGCGGGTGGGGCTCGGGTTCCTGAGCGAAGTGACAGGTGCAGTCTTTCCGCCGGCGAGGCGGAGGCTCCAAGGCGGCGGGTCATTGCGCGCCCCTCTCACACGCAAAATAGTAATAATAATTTTTTAAAAAACGACCTATGTCTGTTAGAGAGTTTTTCTCTCATCGAGATACGGATTGCTCCGGGGGTCGTTTGACTTTTTGTTTTGATCTCCTGCGATGCAACAGTTGGAAGTCTTTCCCTCTGGGCGTGCACTGCATCTACAGCCCGGTCCCGGAGAGGCCAAAAACCGTCTTGGACTTGAAGCGCAGGGTCGTGGGTGTCAGTTGCCCACGGGATCCTGGACCGAAAGGTTTTGTGGGGTTTCCTTAGAACAATGCTTTGTGCCGTGGGGATTTAAAACCATCTGCGGTGACTGGCAGAGCATAACTCTTTTTAGAGGAACTGATATAGGGGCAAAAGTTTCAGGAGAGTAAGCGCTGGAAAGTTGCTCAACTTTTTCTCTTTCTTATTGAAGAGGGCTCCTCTTGCTTGTTAGTCGGCCTCAGCGTGCCTCGTTCTTTCTTCCATTTTTGCCTTTTGACTTTGAATCAGAAAGAATCCTTGTGTCCCTCTTTTTTGGTTTTGTTTGGGTACAAAATCAGAGGTGTTCTGTGCTCACAAGGAACTTTCGCAACCACCTTTTACTAAATGAAATCTAAATTTAAGCAAGTTCGTGTGGATGCAGTAAAACATGACAGGGAGCTATTTATTGCGTTTCAACATTATTTTTCTCCCGGGTGTTACTTTATGATTAAGTAGCAAAAATTTAAATAGATTATGATCATTATTTTTGTCAGCATTGAGTTTACTTTGAGACTGCAGATCCATTGCAGGGGGATAGGTCTTGTTTCTGACCCTTCCACTCCCTCTCCCATTCTAGTCCGTCACCAAGCTTCATTTTATCCTCACTCTGAATAGCACCTTTCTTTCCACTCCCCAGATTGTAACAGAATTCAGGTTAAACTGTAAAAGATTGAAATAGAATTTTGTAAATGGACTGTTCATGCCTATTTAAAATTCATCTATTTAAATGAACTGTCGTATAGGTCAATTAAAATCATACTCACTGGTAAGAACAAAATATTACAAACAAAAAAGTCTGGGGAATGTTCCAAGAGAAAAATATTGCTTCAGTTTCTGATTAAACTCTGATGAGTCCAATACTTGAAAGTTTCCCTTTGAAAAAACAGTAATGTCTATAGAATTCCATGTCATCCACACAGCTTTGTAAGTAATTTTGATTATTATAGAGTAAGCAGAAATATTGAAATCTACCCATCACCTTGGAAAAGAAGTTTCTTTCTCTTTCCCTCATCACATTATTTTATATACCTTTAAATGATGTAATTATAAAAAATTCTAAGTTAAAACCATACAAGATGCAGTCTACTTTTGCATACCCATGAAAACCCACAATGGTTTTCATTAGCACAGTTGATCTCTATGGATAAACTAGTCATGTGTGTTTAGTGACAGGGATATGTTCTGAGAATTGCATCATTAGGTAAATCTTATATGAACATTGTAGAACGCACTTACACACCTAAATAGTATAGGGCAATCACTTGATCTGGCTTGATGCAGTCAAGAAGTAAACATGAGATGTATGAGGGTGCTGCTGGCATAACACAGCATGCTGTTTAACAAAACTTTTTTTAAAATGTATTAGAAGGAGTAAACTCTAATGATAAAAATATAGTAAATATATATATATAATATAGTAAATATATAAACCAGTAATATAGTTCTTTAAATATTATAGTCTGTACATAATTGCATGTTTTATTACAAGTGGCAGCACAGTAAGTTACTTATGCTAGCGCCACCCAAAACACAGGAGTAAAGTGTTGTGCAGCGGCATTATAATGACTACAATGTCACTAGGTGATATGAATTTTTCAGTTCCATTATAATCTTATTGTACTATTGTTAATATACTCAGTTTGTTGTTGACTAAAATGTTGTTTTGTATCAAATCCTTGTCTTTACAAGAGTAGAACTATCACCTGACAATCTGAAGTTCAGGAACTTGTTTTAGGGATGGATTCAGGACCCAGTCTGACTATATTTCTATTGACAAGTCCATTTTTACTTTGAGAGTTGAGGTGTTATTTATGTTGCATTATCTGTTGTCTAAGTGATGTAGTTGCGAGAAAAACTGACTAAGAACAGCTTGCCAACTTTGTTACTGAAATAATCAAAAGTTCGTTATGCTTTCAAGAAGGAGATGGCAGTTTAGAATAGTGGTCAAGGACCTGGACTATGGAGTTAGATTTGGGATCATAATGTGGTTATTTCTTAATTTCTGTGATCTCAGGTGAGTGCTTTAATTTCTCTCATTTGGTAGACATCTGTGAAACAAAAATAATGGAAGTACTTAATGTGGGGATTCAGTGAAACCACCATCATCTAAAGTGTTTTGTATAGGATCATAATGAATACTCAAAAATTAAGTTATTCCTCACACTGTTGCTATTATTATTAGATGTTAAATAGATATCAAATTAAAGAAAAGAAGTTAGTGAATAAGAATTTATTGAATGCTTACCTTAGTTAAAAAAGGTCAAGGAGTAAGAGCTGAAATAAGTGCTGTAATAATTAATATTATGTGAAACATTGGTAAGTGTAGACTACAATTTAGCAAACTCACTGTCTTAGAATGAACTGTTTAATATTATCTGTAGACTTTTCTTTCTGTTGTTATTATCCTATTTCCCAAACAGCATTAACTATTGTACTTAATTTCTTTCACAAAGCTGTTTTGCTGCACTCGAGTATATTTGATTAACCATGTCAGAAATATTCTTCACTGTGTAGCTTCTTTATTTTGGAAAGACTATGAAAAAGATAAACATGTTTAAATTCTAAGTGTAATAATTTTTGAAGATAAAATAAGATATTAAAGTACTTATGTGATGTTCTCTTTCAGAATAGTGCTATTATGTGCAAACTGTTGAAACAAATGTTTGTAAGTATGTGCCTGTTATATGATTATTTTCATTTGTTAGGCTTGAGTTTGAAGAAACCGAAGAACCTAATTTTACTGCCTTATGTCAGAAATTAAAGATACCAGATCATGTCAGAGAAAGAGCTTGGTTAACTTGGGAGAAAGTTTCATCTGTGGATGGAGTATTGGTAAGGATTTTTCTTAAAGCTCTTTGAAAAAAAAATGTTCTCATTTAAAAAATAATTTCAAATCATTGTAGAATATTTGGAAAATAGAAAAAAAGGAAATAAAAATTAGTAATAATTCCATTACCCAGAGGTTACCTACTTCTGATAACATGAAAGTGTTCGGAAAAAATCTCCACAAATAAACCTCCCAGTGAAGTCTTTTAAAGCAAATCTTAGGTATTGGATTTTATTTGTAAATACCTCACTATGATGTAAAGACTTTAAAAAAATATCTTCTAATATGCAATCGGTGCTTAGAATCAGTCTTAGAATTAGTTTTGTTAGAATTCAGGATCTTTGATAATATCTTGATACATTTCTTCCAATTTTTCTTTGTGTGTGTGTGTGTATAAATATATAATTATAACAGAAAATAATTGCTGTTGTTTTTATATGTACCAGGATAACATTCCAAGAACTTTGCAAATAAGTCATTTAACATTTCACTGAGATATGAAATATAAGATCTTTACATTTTATATTTAAATGTGCAATCTTCATTTTATGGATGAAGATACTGTACAGAGAGGTTAAGTAACTAGGCCAAAGTCCCTAGAAAATAAGATCTCAAAATACAAATTTAGAATCATATATATAGTTATATGTAGTTATCCATGATTTTTTATCGTGCTTTTTTGCATTTCAAGTATCATGAACATTTTTTTGTTTTGTTATTGACTTGTTTTAGTAATATAGTTTCTAATGGTAGTATAATATTTTATCTAATAGATATTTTTTAGTTTGGTTCTTAGTGGTATTGGACATTTAGTTTTTTTCCCCCAACTTTAGGTATACAGGCACAAAATAATTTTGAAATTATTTTTTAAATTTGTGAAATAAATTAATTTATGGATATCTGGCATTTTTTCTTACAAGTTGGATTACTGAGTCAAAAGCTATGCATATTTTTGTGACTTGACAATTATTGCTAAATTACACTCCAGAGTGACACTTTGAATTTACTTTATCATCATCATAGTATAAAAGCACATGTCTGTCTGTTTTTACTAATCAGATCAGCACAGCAAAATATGTTAATATCCCATCTTTAAAAATCCTATTAAACGTTCTCTCAAAACTGGATATAGTGGTTCATGCCTGTGATCCAGCAACTTGGGAGGCTGAGGCAGGAGGATCACAAGTTCGAGGCTAGCCTGGACAACATAGCACAATCCTGTTTCAAAATGAAATATAAAAAGAGCTGGGAGTATAGCTCCATGCTGGGTTCCATCCCTAGAGCTTAAAAACAAAACAAAACAAAATGAAGCTCTGCCAGTAAAAAAGAATAAGTTTCATAGTTTTAAAGATCTGAACATAATCTCAAACTCCTTATTTATTTATTTTAAAACATTTTATTTTTTAGTTGGACACAATACCTTTATTTTATTTATTTATTTTATGTGGTGCTGCGGATTGAACCCAGGGCCTCTGACGTGCTAGGCGAGCACTCTACTACTGAGCCACAAGCCCAGCCCCTCAAACTCCTTATTTAAAAGAAGAATACTAAAGTGTTTTGGATATATGACTTGGGTATTATCACTCCAGAGTATCTAGTACATATTGCCACTGACTTGGGTGCTTTGTGTATAAAGATGTTTTTGTGTATATGCAGCTAAAGGGAGTCATAGCTCTGTCACCATTTCCTCTTTCTAAAATATTTTAATTTTCAGAGAATTTGGAAGGACTAGCTACTTCATAGAGAATATTAGTGAATACAGCTCATTTCCAATTTATATAAGTGTATTGTGTTCCAAATCTGTTTGCAAGTTGTTTCCATCCTGGTTTGTACAACTTTTTTTTTTTTTTTTTTTTTTTTAATACTGAACTGTAACAGAAAGAGTTTTAATAGCAGAGGCCCTTTTGTGCTTCAAACTTGAATACATATACAAATAAATGGGACTTTCTTACCCTACCCTTTTCTCTTCCTGGATTTGTCCCTTCCTTCCCTGAGAATTGGCATCTTTATTATTTCCTGATGATACTCATGATGGGGAATGGGACATATCAGATCATTCCTGGTTGTGTCCTGAAAGCAACAAAGCAATTTCATATTACTTCTGGGATTTGGGATATATTTTTACAGATTGTGACAGAAGATGATGTTCTTTTGTCTTATTATAATTCAACAGAACTTTTGGTTGAAGTATTATTTTGAGTGATAGTGAAGTTTTCGAGGATTGGCCTGAGAATTAAACCTCTCTTTACACAATAATTTCCAAGACAGAATTTGTTCTGAGAAGCAAATGTTATGATACAATATGACACAAATTTTATGACACTTTTCTTTCTTTTTTTTTCTTTTTTTTGGAGGGTGGTATTAAGCATTGAACCTAGGGATGCTTAGCCACTGAGCCACATCCCCAGCCTTTTCATTTCTTATTTTGAGACAGGGTCTTGCTACATTGCTTAGGTCCTTGCAAAATTGCTGAGGCTGGCTTTGAATTTGTAATCCTCCTGCCTCAGCTTCCGGAGCCACTGGGATTACAGGCATGAGCCACTGGGATTATACGCGTGTGTCACCGTGCCTATCCAGTTGTCCATTTTCTTTGAAGCAAGAAGAGGAATGTAATAACTTGAGGGATTTTTAGCATTTCAAAGTGGATGATGCTTATTGGAATATAGGATGTGGAGTCAAACTGAACTCAGGTCTCAGATATATCATTTATTATCTCTATAATCTTGAACAAGTTACTGCAAATCTCTTAAGATTTTTTTTTAATCAGTGAAAGAAGCTAATAATAATTTCTGAATTTTGGAATCTTTATACAGATTAAATAAAATTAATGCATATTAAACACTTATTAGTGTCTGTGAGTTAATATATTAGGTCATGCAAGCAGAATATTTCACTTAAGAATTAATTACCCTGGAAAATTTTATTACTAGTATAATTTTTAGGAGAACTTAAGAATCAGTTAAAATAGTTGATTTTTTTTTTTTTTTTGGCAGTGTTGGGGGTTGAACCCAGATCTTTGCACTTGTGAGGCAAGCACCCTACCACTGTTACATCCCATCCCCTAAATGGTTGAATTTTTAAATGCATGTTTAGTGATTCTAATGTGGTACTTTTATTTAAATTCTTATTTTTAAGTTCTTTTTAAAAATATTTTTTTTATTTGTAGTTGGACACAATGCCTTTATTTTATTTATTTTTATGTGGTGCTGGGGATCGAACCCAGTGCCTTGCAGTGCTAGACAAACGCTTTACCACTGAGCCACAACCCCAGCTCCTCAAGTTCTTTAGAGTGAGAAAAACTGTTTATGCATACATGAAAGCATATATTAAAGGGATATAGTGATCCTTTTAATAAAAATTTTATGAGACTTTGTCTAAAAGACTTTTTAAACAACATTTTAATGTGGTATATGATTACTGTCATAAAGTTTCAATTTTCATTAATAAATCAACTAGGAGTGCTGTTTATATTGTGACTTACAGTGAATCAGTTGTTAGAATTTTGGTTTTCTTTCTGCATCTTGAATGCCAGTATGGTAAAATGGAAAAGGTGTTGGACTTCAAGGCAGAAAACTTTAGTTGTACATTAGTTCTCCCCTGTCTGAGGTTCTGCTTTGCACAGTATCAGTTACCTGTGGTCAACTGGGATCTGAAAATATTAGATGGAAAATTCCAGAAATAAACAATTCCCAGTTTCAAGTTTCATGCTGTTCTGAGTAGAATGGTGAAACCTCTCACCGCCTCATTTCATCCTCTGGAGATGTGAATCATTCCTGTCTAGTATATCTATGCTATATCTACTGCTTGTTGATCAGTCACTTAGTATCCTTCTTGGTTATCAGATTGACTATCATGGTATCATGGTGCTTATGTTCAGGTTACTCTTATTTTACTTAATAATAGCCCCAAAGTGTAAGAGTAGCTATGCTGGCAATTTGGACTTGATAGGGAGAGGCCATGAAGTGTTTCCTTTAAATGAAAAGTTAAAAGTTTGTTATAGATTGTATATGTATAGCATTACCTCCGAGATCCTGTAAGTTTGGTTACAGGTCACTGAAATATTTATTTTATGACATCTAGAATTGTGAATCCTTTCCAGAAAGTTTTCAGTTTTCTTTGCTTAGATCCATCAGAGGGATTTATGGTAACTATAGCCTTACAAAATAATGTCTGTCTTAAATAATAAGACTTGGAAGTCAAATTAGTCTGTGATCTGTGGGCTGCTAAATGGATTTTGTTTTAGCAGGCATTAAAAAAAAAATTAATCTTGTTGTACATCTCCGTCAGAGCTCTTCAGTGGAACTCTTGTTAAGTTGTCAGTCAGCAATAATATTTTGAAAGGAATCTTTTTTTCCTGTTTTTTTTTTTTTTTTTTTTTTGAGCAGTAGTTCTCAACAGTGGGCTTCAAATACTTAGTAAGACCTGTTTTAAACAGATGTGGTGTCATATGAACTTTTTTATTTTTGTTTCCCTTAAAGAGCACAGGTAGAGTATATTTTGAGAATAATTCTTAAGGTTCTAAGATTTTCAGAATGGTAAATCAACATTGGCTTCAACTTAAAAGTCACCAAATGTATTAGCCCCTAACAAGAGAGTTACTCTGTCCTTAGAAGCTTTGAAGCTATGCATTGTCTTTTCCTCTCTAGCTATGAAAGCCCTAGATGGCATTTTCTTCTAATATAAGGCTGTGTTAGCTTTTTTCACTTGACCAAAATGCCTGACAAGAATAATTTAGAGAAGGGAAAATTTATTTTGGCTCATGTCTTGAGAGGATTAAAAAAAGGTCCATGGTTGGCCAGCTCTATTGCTCTTGCCTTGAGGTGAAGCAGAGCATCATGGCAGAAGGGTATGGTGGAGGAAAACTCAGCTCAAGTCAGTAGGGAAGCTGTGAGACCGGGAGAGAGGAAGTGCTGGGGAGAAGATAAACCCTTCTAGGACCCACCTCCAGTGATCTATTTCCGCCAACTAGGTCCCACCCTTGAAACCTTTCTGCACAGAGGATCAT